ATTGGGTTAGGTAGGCCAACTTGAAAACTGATTGGTAATCCCAGTTGCTACTTCATATAACTCAACTATTACTGGCTATCTACGAGATCAGACTTATGTTCAAACCAAATAGTTGGGCTGTCATTCAACCAAGCGACAAACTCCTGTCTTAAAAAATGTCAAGCCAAGGACTCCCCCCATAGGTCCCATTTTTACCGAAAAAAACGTTTTTTGTCTAAAAGATCATTAGGCCAGGAGTTTTGCATAAATCTGAATAAATTGGGTCCAGAATGATTTGACTGACAGGGGGGCACTGTAGCTCTTTGCCTGTTGCTAGTCTGATTATACGTTAGGCGAGATAGCATATCCAATATGGCAACCACCTTTGTTTGGCTTCAAAACGCCTCCTCACACACCAGTGGGTGAGGTCATCAAGACTATGTCTATGTTTTATACAGTCTATGGTTTTAACAGGCTGATTGTAGCTTTTGTGGAATTTCATTCTTGGGCATTTTTGTGTGGTCTGTGTACTTTTTACAGAATAATCTTCCTTTTTTTATACAAACACTACAGACCTACAGTATGAAATGTCAGTCAGAAAGTCTGTTTATACAAATATTATTCTAGCATATGCGCAAACACATGTTTCATGTCACCCCTCGATCAGTCAGCACCACTGTTGGGTTGCCAGAGTCAGTCTCAAAATGCCTCTTATGCCATCCAACTGGTGTCATGTACCATGTGGTATGTGAATTATTATGTTACATTTCTTGATTCTAAAACATTTTTTTTTGCATCTAACCTGTCCGGATTGAGTGATGTGAGCTAAAAAGTTTTCTTTGCACTCAAATTTATTTTCTTCCTTTTTGGCCTAGATTATAACATTTTACTGAAATAAAAAACCTTCAGTATGTATTCCATAAATGTAAATAGCAGTTGACCAGTGGCTGTTAAGACTCAGAGGATGCTTGGTAGGCAGAGAATGCGCCTCCTGTCTGTCATCTAGTCCCATCAGTTCTCTGCTACACATCAGCATCATCCAGACCCCTCAGGAGAACCACATACATTAATCACTGTGGTGTCAGTGAGGCAAACCACAGTCAAATCAACACTTCACAATCTCAGCTCCATTTCTTCATGTAGAAGCAAAACAAGATCCACCCCAGCGAGCTCAACAGCATGGAAAGAGGTATGCTCAATGGAGTCAAGTGAACTCAAACATAATGCAAATCCCATCGAGAAATGAATCACAATGCAAATCCCTGCGTTAAACTGCAGCACAAAGCAAATTCAAGGCTGAAACCAATCGCATGCAAATTCCAACAAGCACACAATATTACAGGAAGAAGGCCCCACCCAACTCTACACATATTTCAAGTTGTGAAATCTATTTGTACATTTGCAACAAAAGGTTTTATTCTCAGGAAAACACTGCAGGTCTAATGCCAAACATGCTCAGAGTTCCTGTGATGAAAGATATTAAAAAAAGCAAGAAATATCTGACACATAACTTTAAAGAAAGAACATAGGCAGTGTGAGGGTAGAGAGGTTATGACTGGTTGATCCTGGAGCAGGCCAGGTGATTCGGTCACATCAGGTCTGGTATAGTTGTGGTTGAAAGAGGGGAAATAACAGAGAGACTTTGGGCTGAGTGCCACTTCAGACAATGGGGCTTCTAGGAGATGGAGCTTCCTTGAATTGTGCAAAGTTTCCACATAGTGAATGAAAACACGAGCCTCTCAGAGGTGGTTTTTCCATCAAGGTGGTCTTGCTACAGAGATCCCATCTGAGTAGAAGAGCTGATAAGTCAGAGTGGTACCACCTTGAGCTGTACTCTTGATTCAAGGAGATGTCTGCTTAGTACTTACTGTGTTACTAGAGAGGACTAGGAGTAATCTGCACATTTGGCTTTTTAAAATAAGCTTTTGGTGTGTTAAAACAAGAAGAAGCTTGAAAGCTTATGCCTTAGATTTTTGAGTTGAGGTTTATATTTGATGTAAAAGAAACGTGTTTTTAAGTATGAATGTACGTGTTGTATGTTTATTAGTTTTTATGAACTGTTAGCCCACAACCTATTGCAAAACAAAATTATCAGAGCATGTCCGCGGAGCATGAAACATGCTGTTTGTTGTGATTTCCTGCATGAAACACAAACATACCCTGCACTTTTAATAGCATACTTGTCCTTTCTTAATACAGTGCATTCTGCAGCTGCCCTTGTAAAGTTTGTACTGTGTTATTATGCAAAAAATGCACAATGCAAGCGTCATGTGCATTATTACTGTGAAAATGTTAATCAACATGAAAGGACCATGAAGAGGAACTTATAACATCATGGATATGTACACTGGTTGAAGAGGCCCCCGATTATTTTTTTTACCTAGGGACCAGCAGACTCTAGAATCTCCACTACAAAACACATTTACGTTTCCAGTTGTGTGTTTCTCATGATACTTTTCTTGTATGAGATACAATTCTTACATGACCACAAAGTCTTAATGTGTTATTTTGGATTACAAACTCTTGTATTTGTAAATTATAAACAGCATATTTGAAACTGTATTAAATATATTAAAACGTCTTTTACATTTCACAGGTAATGTATTTTGATAGGCCGATATCCCGATGAATAATCCTCCCAAAACAGAATGGTAGCATAGGCCTGTCCTTGTATATTTGGAATAATGCATTTGACAAACATATATGTATTTGGAAATACTCACATGTTGGGATACTGGTGTAAGAGATTGGGTATTGGGATTCAAAAATATCGTGTCCAGCAAGTATGAGAACTCTTCAGGAAAACAAAAACTTAATCTAAAAATTGTTGTGACTTCTCTTTGTTGAGTCTAATGAGTAGATCTTCATACTATATGTTATAGTTCCAGTTAAACGGACATCAGCTGGCATAACAAATCATACACTTTAGTCATATAACACTATATGAAAGTCAACTTTACATGAGTTGTGACACAGTTTGTTCTATTTTTAATTAGTCTTATCAAAGATTACACACATCACACAGGTGTTTCCAGTTAGATCTCTGCTCAGGTTGGGAATAACATGATGTCACCACACGTAGGAACCAAGAGACTCTTTTCATGGAAGAAATATAATCGTGGAAAAAAGTTTTTTTTAATATTGCATGCGATTAGCTGTGCTGCTACTTAGCCGCTAACCTTTAAAGCTACTGTACATTAAGAGGAGCACTGAAAAAAAATAAAAAAAATAAAACATGTGTCAGTATGTTTTAATTTGTTTTAATCCACTGAGGAACAGACTTGTGTTTACCTTACCTTACCTTAAAATTATCTCTTTATATCTACAGTATAAAGAGAGAATATCCACTTCCACCAGAGTCCACCATGTTGCACCTCCATGTTTCTACAGGAGCCCTGAATGGAACCACTAAGTATGTCTGCTGCAACAGGTTCAAAGAAACGTACCAGGCAAGCAAATTAGATTTCAGTGGAGCCGTCTTCATAGTTACAGTTTAGTCAACTATTAGAGGAAACTGTTTATGTCGGCTGTAGCTTCATAGTGCCTTCAGTTGAAAGACTCATCTACACGTCAAGCGTTCAACTCTTGCTACAATAGTTGATTACAGTGAAATTATTTGGGGAAAGAAATCATTTTAGTGCAGATTGGTGCTTGTGAAGAAAAGACACGAACCGTTTAATATGGAGCAGTTTCCATTGTCTATTTGGCACTATAATACCAATAATATATATTATTATAATAATAATAATAAGGCAATTATTTGTGTACAATGATTTACGATGATTTTATACTTCTTTTAAGTACACAAGGAAGAACTGTATATTTTGCACTTCATTATGGGTTTCTTCACTTTTTTTTTAAATTAAATATATTGGACAACTTGTATTATTTATTTTACAATTGCTTATACTATTTATGTGTATGTGTTTTATTTGTCCCAGTTGTAGAATAAACTCCAATCTAATACAGTAGCTAGATTTAACTGTAATACAGTGTAAACAGTTCATTGTATAAAATGTAACTCAGTACATTTTAAGCACTTTGTTCAGCCATGTAGCCATACTACGGAGACCCAGAAGTCCCAAAAAGTGATTTTCTTCTCATTATAATTTGTGCACAAGTTATCATCTTGTGTGCATATGTTATTATCATGTGAAACTATTTTTTTCATACAGAATAATATTCTTTCACTGTCACCATTAATAGTCAATCATGATTATTTAAGGTCTGAAATTAATGCATTAGTTTTTTTCAATCACGATTAATCACAGGCTATTTTGTCCCTTTAGAGCCACCGTAGTTAAGGCTCATCAGTGATTCCCTGTAGTCACAGTGATGGAAAAGAACAAAACTGCTGCATCTTTGAACGTCTCATTTCACTTTAAAAAAACTCTCAGCTTATGAGTCCTAAGTCATATCCACCTCATGACATCAAACATTGAACTTTTTTACCGTTCCTTTGATACATTTTCTGTGGATATGTTAATGTCGTAACCTTTGACCTACCAGAATGGCCCTACTTTATTTCAAAATAAAAGCAGTGTTCAATTCAAACAGAAAGTAAACGACTCGCAGCTTAAGACAGTACAAAACTTCCAAAAGCAAAGCCTAACACTTTTTATTTATAAATGTAAATAGTCGAATGTCAAACATGCGATTAAAAATGTGATTAATCAAGATTAACTTTTGAATTTTAGAGTTCAAAATTTCATTCAAAATTTGAATGATTTGACACCCCTTTATTTATTTTTATTTTTTACTTTTTTTTTGGACTTTAGGGGCTCCAGACCTTACAGAGGAGACATTACATAAGAAACCCACGTATCTTTATACCACTCGTCATTACACCGCTGACAGCAATAGTTTCTACAGCTGTACCTCATACTCTGATAATCAGTGTATACTGAAAGGTCTCTTACATTATTTTGTTCCAAACTCTATGAATGAAAACACTACTGTTCACTTCATTGAAGTATTTGAAACCAAAAGTTGCTGCTTGAGGCTAAAAGAAAACACTGCAATTGTAGTTTGTGGGCAATTTAATTCCAACCCTCTCAACACTGTGATCATGTTGAATTCCTTAAATCACAGAAATACTGTCGCATAATGATGTGAGGGAAAAGTATGATTATTTCACTTGAGTTGGATCTGACACAGTGCACTGGAGCTAAAACAAACCTGGTTATTATTGCTCATCACGTTGCTGCATCGAGGAGAGTGAAGATCAGTAGTCTCCTGTACGATGGAAGCGATACATATGAAAGAAAGTGTCGATTCTTAAGTGGTTAAATGACCCCAATTACTAATAGACATTATTACTAATAGACATTAGAATTATTAATAGACACTAAATAGTGGATCTCTTTCTCCAACCGATACAAAAAGAATCTCATCAGTAGAAAAACATACAGTGCAAGAAAAGCAACAAAAAGTACTTGTTGAAGACAGACGGCTGATAATAAGGCAGAGGACAAACAGAAATGTAAATAGCAAATAGACTTATCATTATCAATATTATTATTATTATACATCGCTACATTCGAGATATCAGGCACTCTGTATTGCTAACAAAACTACATTATTATATCATCTGCCCTCATCCATCTGCACCAGTGTTTGATTTCCCTGCTCTGGTTCTAGTTGGAGTTCAGTCTGTTCTGGTTTTTACAAGTGGTTGTGTTGGAGAAGATGTTTGGCCCTCTAAGTTATGATTTTTTTCTTGCACTCCACAGAGCAGAAGAGGAAGGCCTTCACCGCCATGAAGCGCTGGCCCGTCAGGCACTTGGAGCAGCCGGAGCACTTGAAGCATTCGGGCTCAGCGTGCCAGTGGTGATCGCCGTAGGAAACCCTCTGGGCCTCGGGCTCCACTTCCTTCTGGCAGGAGGCGCATTTCTGGGGTGACAGGATACAATGATGTCAAGTCACAAAGTCACCTTTTTACATCTCTGTATTTGTCTACTTCCTTTTCATAGTGCTTTATGAACAGATTTTGATTTTTGTAATTAACTTCTCTTAAGTAAATAGATGAAAAAAAAAAAGGACAAACAAGATACAAAGAGCATATCAAACGCAGTGGGACTGTAAAATATAACAAATACTGGAATGTGCTGTTTTCTACAAAACGTTTTTTGAGTACTGCTAATTGTGGAAAATTGTTTTTCTGAAAAATAAGATTAAAAAGCTTAAAATGTTTGGTCCTTAAAAAGAATTAATAAATAAAAATGTCTTCTTATTTTTGCCCAGAAATTAGTGAGACATAACAGAAAAATCAACTTGAAAATGATTTTAAATCCCGGTGTAAGTACTTAAATTGAGCACGTAGTTCTTCATACAGTTAGAAGAGAAACAGTCAGAAGTGAAGGTTAGTATCAGGTTACATCAAACCTGTGGCGTTGCGGGGGATTATGTTGGGTAAATCATGTAAGCACATGCAGAGTGCTTCACATTCTTGACTTTGGGTGGCCAGTGTTCATTTACAGCTATTCTTAACTTTGACTTTTATCATGATGTTCCTCTTCAATGTGTGTGTGAGACTTGGTTTTTTTAAGGTTTATTTTTAGGCTTTTTATGTCTTCATTTTAGAGTTAGGACAGTTGATAAGAGTCTGAAATCAGGGACAGAGAGAGAGTAGCCACAGGTCGGATTTGAACCTGGGCCGCCCGCTTCGAGGACTTCAGTCTCAGTACATGGTGGGTGCCCGCTAACTACTTGGCGCCACTGGTGAGACCCTTTTTTGCAAGAAGAACATGTCATATACAGCATTGCTCCAAATAATGATGACTGTTGTTCTTCTCAGACGATACCACTGGGAGGCAACAACATGAAGTCACGGCTTAAAGTCAGAAAGGATCTAGATCTACATGAGGTCATTTCTTCTCAAAACAGCAAAGTTTAGGAGCTGCGTGGGCCCTCAATCAAGATAACCAGCAACAAAGTAAATGTCCTTTTTTGTATTTACACACACACACACACACACACACATACTGTATAAACTATGTACTTTTTTTTCTCTCAACATATTCAGTACTTTTGTTGTACACTACTGTTTAAATATGTTTTGGGCGGATGAATCTAACATATGACTAACATGAATACTTCCATGACCTGTGCTCCCTGATGAACGCTCTGATGAGCTGAAATGTGTCACTGTGCCACACAATTTTAGCTTCATAAAGGCTTTTGAACGTTTGTAAAGTAACAGAGTGCCTCAGATACCTTTTTGTGTTTGCCTACTTCACTCGAGTTGATTGTTTCACTCAAGCGATAAACACATCTCCCCTGTTGTTTTCAAGGTATCTACCTTTATTTGAACCAAACATATTCACATATCACTCTCAGGTCACAACAGAACTTGCATATTTGGGCTTCTGTCGTGATTTTCAATGAGATGGGTGCCATGAAGGTCCAAAAAAACCTAAATTGTAGTTTGCAAAAACAGCCTCGCAAAAAGGGGAACCCTGGAAGGTCAAGTGTTGAAACAAACAGAGAGAAAGTGCGTCTCACCGCAGCGTAGTTCTTCATGTAGCACGGCTTGCAGACGGGCTTGTCGTTCTCCATGACGTACGTCTCTCCAGCCAGGATGCAATCACAGTCAAAGCAGCAGAAGTGCTTCAGATGCCAGTTCTGTCCCTCTGCCTGAGTGTACTCATTACTGAAGATCAGCTGTGGACACACACACCCATAAAAATGTTGATTGAAAATTGCTACAGCCTGGTTCAAGGTTCCCTCGTGTGTAGCATTCAGGGACAAATGAAAAATGAAGAATAAATGAACCTTGGAAACCTCAGAGGAATTGATGCATGCATGATTAGTTTCCGTTCAGCTTCCAAAATCAGACAATATTTATGTCTAAATTAAAATATCACAAAATACTAATAGCTCACAAAACTCTGAAATGCTTGATATGTTCATGTCCTCTCTCACCTCATCACAGCCTCCACAGCGCGGCTTCTCGCTGTCCCCGTAGTGGCGTCCACAGTACAGCTTGCCTTTTTTCCAGAAGTAGATCATGTCCACTAGAAGCTCGTTGCAGGTACAGCAGACGAAGCACGCTGGGTGCCACAGCTTGTCGTAGCCGGCGCGCTCAGCGTACACAGCTGGCTCGCCCCGACCCATCGGCTGCTGGCATTGACGGCAGGACTACATAAGAAAGACAGAGATGGTTAGTTTGATGGTGAATCTGATGTAAGGGCCCATCTCTGTCAGCACTTTGACACATGGATGTAACGTTCTTAAACTTTCCATTAAAGATCACATATTATACTCATTTCCAAAGAGTTTAAATATGTCTCAGAGCTCCCCAAAACATGTCTATGAAGTTTCTTTTTATAAATACACTCAAATCCTGTATTTGATCATGTCTATAAACCCCTCTATTTCAGCCCTGCTCAGAACAGGCTGTTTCTGTAACTTTAAATGCAAATGAGCAGTGTCTGACCACGCCCCCTCTGGAAGGGCTTGGTTGGCCTAGGGCTTACTTTCACCATGCTCGATTTTTTACAGTGAGAAGGCAGACTAAGAGGGCTGAACAGACACCTAGTTGTGGGAGTGTCATTCACCTGGGGGAGGGGTTACTGCCCTTTGTGATGTCACAAAGGAAAAATCTTCAAATGGCCTGTTTAAGCACACATTTTCTGAAAAGTGGAGCAGGCCAAAGATGGAGGATTGGACTTTACTCATAATTGGGGGGTTTGTAGACAGACTAGGGACATATAAGAGTTTTAGAAAACCATTGCAAAGTGTATTTTACATAATATGTTACATTTAATGTCAAGCTGATTCTCTTAATTTTGTTTAGTTTCATTAATAAGTTTGCAACCTGGGATCCATTACTGATTGATCATAAATAAGGTTTTAATTCTCCCATTGATGATGAAATGGTGATCAAATATGTCTTCAGAGTAAGTCTATTGTCAGATTGGAGAAGATGCGACCATGATATGTTTAACAAATCAAAACTCTGAGGCACATTGAAAATAAAAGTTTTTTTCAGCGTGCCACAGAGGTTTGATTTTTTTTTTAATCATGGTATGTTTCTGCAACCATGCGCACCTGAGAACCTATATACTGTGGATGGGGTACCCTGTTGGCCCTTTAGATTAATCATTATATTTTTTGTCAAATCATTTCATTCATAGATTGTTTCAGCCCTCATTTGTTCTCATATTTGCCTTGATTGTTATTCAGGTCTCTTATTTATGACACAGTGCATGTATTATATAGATGAATACATTGTGTGAGAGCAGTCAGTTGCATCCTGTCCCCAAACATTTTTTCTTTCATCCCCTTCAGTCATAACAAAGAATTATGACATCCTTCCAGAACTTTTCAGCAGATTTACACAATGACCAATCTCCTCCTCTTTGAGTCCATTTCAAAGTCAAGTTCATCTCCTGTGAACTGAATTGAAGGTTATTTTACTTGGAAACATGTGCTTGGACTTCTTGTCCTGAACAACTCCCTGCATGGTGGAGAATGGCACATTTTACTGCTTTGAATGGATGGAATTCCCTCTTTATAGTCCAAAGGCTCACTGTGACCTGACCCTGGTGCTGTTAATTAAGAAGAGATGACTGCTGTTGGAGTTCAGGTGAAGGTAGAGATACGTTAATATAAAGCTGTTAAAGACACTCTCTGCCAGGAGGGAAGGGGGGTGGACTAGATTTTGTGCAACCATGAACACTGAGAGGAAAGATGAGGAGGGAGGAAGCAAAAAGAGCGAGAACAACAAAATAAAAAATAACTTGAGTGTAAATACAATTAAGATATCACACACTGAAGTAGATGCTGGTTTATGTCCTCTTGATTCTTGCTACTACTGCTGATCATTGCTTCAATATGAAGAGCCTTCTTTAGACACGGGCCACAGAAACACTTAAAGCAGGAAGAAATCAGCGGGCTCCATACAGTGAAAGTTAGCTGCTTGCATGTGGGAATGATGATATCTTTAAATAAACTACATTGGTGACTTATGACACATAATTACACCAACGTTCATCATCGTGTGCAATGAAGCCCGAGTTAAAGGTAGTCTTATGTCGCCCTCCAGTGTCCTGACTGTGACCTACACTCATTTTTGTTTTGTTACTGAAAGTAATGTACTGAAAAAAATGCATACAACTATTTAAACACTGGTACTTGTCTGGTTTCACATTTACTTTCACTGAATTCAACCTTTGAATTTCCTTACACTCTGAGGAATCACTTTAATCACTCCCCTAGCAGGGGCTGGATAAATGTGAAGAGATATTGGATGATTGTTGGTTGAAGAAGGTTGTAAATGTTTTTGTACAATGAGGACAGTGTGATGGAGTTTACCTGCAATGTTAGTTAAAAATGTAAAATTAAAAAAAATTAACCTTATGTTGGGAGTCCAGGAGTTCTATTTGAGTTACCTTGAATAAAACAGGTTTTGACCTTATTTGATTATTATCAAAATCATACTGAAGTTTAATATTTGGTATCATTTCATCTTCAAATAACTCCAGTTATCATCCAGTCACATAAATGAATAAATAAATAAATAAATGTGTTTGGTCAGAGAAAATTAGTCATTTCCCTCTAGTAGTTTCAGTCCTGATTTGACATTTTGTAAAACATTTTTACAGATTTGGAACTTGTGGAGAAAACATAGCAGTTTGAGCTTTAAGAGCACTGCATAATGAAAACAACAAGTCAACGTTCCATCTATGAAGGCTGCAGGGGAACCACTGGTTCAGTTTACCTCACAGCATCACTTTGCACCACAGCCAACATTTTAGAAACAACGTCCTGGCTTAGCACTTCAGGGCTAATCTTTAGCTTAATGATTCAAATGTTTTTTTTTTATATGTTAGCAAATCACAAACATGTGTCCTATAAAACTTTAGACCTGGATTACTTTGCTGTGACTTAACAGCTATTATCCCTGAAATGCACAAAATGTACTTTGGAGATAGAAGTGGTGACTTCTCTTTTTCCTCTTCATTGTGCTTCTTCCTTTCACAGCCAGATAGAAACGACTAAGTGCCAACTGAATGTATGGTCACATGACGAGGAAATGGAAATAGTTGCCTAGAAACAGCTGGTGTGTCAATTTACCCACTGGCTCATCTCACCCCACTCTTCCCTACTCTGCACTTAACATTGAGTCATTCATAACTTTAATAACTAAAAAAAAGAAGGAAAACTCTGAACTGTACAAATGTGTTGTCCATGTTATGGTACAGCAAATGTATTTTAACAATTTAGACCGTGCTCTCATGCTTTTTAGGAGCAGCTTTTGGAGAATAATATGACTGAAGATCATTTTAAAACACATCATATCAAATAGTATCGCAGTATCAAAGTTTTGACATTCTCATTATGAGCCCACTATAGTTACAGTACCCTCTGTGGAAAGAAGGGCCGGATGTCTGCTATTATGGGAGCTCGCGCCTGTTCTTCACACTTAGGGAGTGTCTGTGTCAACTTGACACTTTTCTAGCTACTACTTTGCAGTCAAAACCATTTTCATGAGTTGTGTCCTTGAAATATATAGTACATAGAGTACATTCAACCAGAATGAGAGGGTGGAAAAGAAATGAAGACGTCACATTTTCCTTCTCGCTGGACATAACTCTTTTCAGACCAGATCCTTGGATACTAACTCCACACACAAGTGCTCTATTATGAAAACTGCAGTGAAAGAGGCCGAGCAAATTATGACATTAAGGCTGGGGAAAATGTGTGCAATCAGCGATGATGATACAAGATATTCGTACACTTTCCATACAAGTGCATTACAATAAATATACTTGTCTAGTATTGTCGACAGGGTTTTGATCCACTAATCTGGCCTGGATGCCAGTAAAGTGTAAATGTGGAGGAGAATGACAAACAGGTAGAATGAGAAATGAATATAATGTACTTACAAAGGCCTGTTGTGGTAGTCCAGCTTGCTGAGTTCCAGGGACCCCCATTGCTCCAGCTGTGGCAGTGGTACCCACAGCTCCTTCTGCTGGTCCAAATCCAAAAGATTGTCCAGTAGCAGGGTCTGAAAGTGCACCGCCAGCACCAGGTCCTGCTCCAGGTCCAACACCAGCTCCAACTCCATAGCCAGCTCCAGGTCCATAGCCAGGTCCAGCTCCAACTCCAGGTCCATAGCCAGGTCCAGCTCCAGCTCCAGCTCCAGCTCCAGGTCCATAGCCAGGTCCAGCTCCAGCTCCAGCTCCAGGTCCATAGCCAGGTCCAGCTCCAGCTCCAGCTCCAGGTCCATAGCCAGCTCCAGGTCCCGCTCCAGCTCCAGGTCCATAGCCAGCTCCAGCTCCAACTCCAGGTCCATAGCCAGGTCCAGCTCCAGCTCCAGCTCCAGGTCCATAGCCAGGTCCAGCTCCAGCTCCAGGTCCATAGCCAGCTCCAGCTCCAACTCCAGGTCCATAGCCAGGTCCAGCTCCAGCTCCAGCTCCAGGTCCATAGCCAGCTCCAGCTCCAGCTCCAGCTCCTGCTCCAGCTCCAGGTCCATAGCCAGCTCCAGCTCCAGCTCCAGCTCCAGCCGTGCTACCACCAGCTCCAGGTCCAAAACCTGCACCGACCCCTGACCCAGCCATAGGCCCCACACCAGGCCCTGTAGCCCCTGCACCCCCAGCTCCAGGTCCAAAACCTGCACCGACCCCTGCCCCAGCCATAGGCCCCACACCAGGCCCTCCAGCCCCAGCACCCTGTCTATAGCCAGCCCCCCCAACTCCACCACCGGCACTAACACCCGCTACAGTTGCACCAACCCCTGCCCCTCCAGCCCCACCCTGTCCTTGTGCCTGAATCAGAGCCATCTCTTCAGGCAGCATGACGTCTGCCACCCCAAGGGCCTCGTCCTTGTACTTGCGGACAAACTGCTGCATTAGTTTGACCTCCGCGGGGGTCAGCTCGTGGCACTTGGACGGGTCCTGGTCGTGCTCGGGCAGCTGGCAGGCCATTTGCTGTCTGCGATAGGCAGCTCCCTCTGTGCCGGCCACCGGACGTTTCTCTGCTGGCAGCAGCTGGATGTAACGCACCGCCTGGAAGTCAGATGAGAAATAAGAAGAATTGTTTTGCTGTGAGAGGGTAAAGAAAGATTGTGTGAAGGACAGAGATGCGAACGACCAATCAGTAAGAGAGTAGGGGGGAAATTGTTGTAAAAAAAAAAAGATGTAGAGGCTTGTGGTTGGATAGACATGCAAAACAAGTCCTACAGAAACAGGACTAGACTAAACAAATAGATAGAAGACTTACAAAGCTTTACAAGTCCAAATGGGAGATGAGTCAAATGGCACAAGTTGTTTGCAAGGCATCTCCCTTAACAATCATTTACTTTCATTTTGAGTGAAACAAACAGATTAAATTGGCTTTAATTGGGAGCCTTTTGATAAATGATCAATATTGAAAACAAACAAACTCTTGATCACTTGAGTTTGAACTCTTACCAGATACTTATTGGCCACTGGAGGAGCCCATTCGTAGGTGACAGATGTCATTGGCACGTCTTTGGGGACTGGGACAGCATTGGCTGATGTGGCACTCACAGAAACCGGCACTTTGTTGGCCCTGACAGCAGTGACCCCGACTGGTACTGGCCTAATTGATGCCTGACCTTGAGCGTAACCTGGAGCCTGACCTGGTGTTTGGCTTGGAGCGGGAGCCTGAGCACCACTGGCCGCTGTACGTGCAGCAGCTCCGGCAGCTCCGGCAGCTCCGGCAGCTCCGGCAGCTCCGGCAGCTCCGGCAGGCTGTACAGACCCGGCTGCTGCAGAGGGGGGCAGAATGGTGGGAAAAGCACTTGGCGGTACAGCATAAGCAGTGGAGGCACTGGGCAGAGTGATGGTCACCATGTTGCCTTTGTAGCTGGGGAGGCCGTCCTTTTTCAGCTTGGCGATGAGGCCGGTGTACTTTGTGTCCTCGAACAGCTTCCCCACCTTCTTGTTCTCCTCCGAGTTCATCTGCACGTTGTGCTCTGTGAGGCCACATTTACAGTTTCTGCAGATTTTTCTGCAGAGGAACGAAAAGCATTCAGGATATTTTAGAGATTTATTGACATTTTTCACAGAGCCAGAGAGAAAGCTTGCTTTACTTTGGTTGAGTGTGTATGTGTTGGATATTTACATTGTCTTGTGTTATAAAAGTGAAACCCTAACAATTGATTGAATACACAGATGCTTGTTTCAGTGTGGAACAATGTCTCTACTTTTCTGGAATGCGATGAATAAAACTGTGCTCTCTTAAGGCACATTGCATTTAAAAATTTTTAAATGTTCTAACCTTACATACACTGCTGTATCAATACAACAAGCTCAGTGTTGAACTCAAAAACCTGCACTTTGACATGTCTCAACACAACTTGCTCATATTTGTAGAGTAACTCTGACTTTATTTATGACTGCCAGGCATGCTTCAGCGTGCCCCTCCTGCTTCATGAGGCTGCTCCAAAGATTTCTCTCAGCAGAGTGAAGCTCGGGTGAACTTTTGCAATACGATAAGCGTCAAAGTTCTGTAGAACTCTGGATGCTCTTTGACCGCAGTTTATGCTCAATAATTGTCCCTAGTCTAGACAGAGGAGGTGTGGAATCGAGGCTGACCCTGCACTGTCACACTTGTTCCTGTGATGGTTCTAAGCTGCTTGACAGAAGCTGTACAAACCTCCAGAAGTGCAGCTCGAAGCCTTCACACTTGTCCTTGCATTTCAGACAGGCCGCCCCAGCGCCAAACTCGTGTCCGAGGGTCATCTGTAAACAGAAAACAGAAGGGAGAGAGATTACTTAAGATATCACAGTTTGTGTTAGATGCTTAAGCACTGAAAGGGAATGATCAGTTTCCTAGAGGCAGACAAGTAATGGAGACAACAAATTAATACTATCATGACTCCTCGATAATCTTAGAGGTGTTAAGAATTAATAAATAATCTGTGTGCTGTTGACACGATGGATATGCATCGCTACACCTCTATCTAGATGATTTTAACATGTGACCATAAACTAAAAAGGAAAATGTTTACTGAGGGAATAAACTGAGTGAGAAGGAAGTTCAATTACTCATTTTCGTCTACACAATCTTACTTCTTTTGCAACCCTTTAAATTGCCCCCTGCTGGCCGTTACAAAAATGCATGTGTTTAGGCAATTCTGCATTAGTTCCACTTTTGCAACCAGATGGACGTCCTCTTCTTGAATACAGTCTCAGTTTAGGGGGGAAAAAAGCATCTTTTAAAGTCACTTAAACCCCTATTATCAGAGTTGAGATGATTTCTGATGTTGCCTTTGAAATATCTAGCAACATTGCTCCTAAATTCTTGTTGCTTAAAATCAGTTATTTTGTTTTTTTTAACATCTTCTCGGAATGTGACTCTGCGCTGCACTTCTCTTCCAATCGTCTTCATCCTTCCCTTTGCTTCAGCAGCAAACAATGCCCCTTTCAGCCTTAAGCCATTACTGCTGTTTATGACCATATATGGGCAACTGTTCAATGACGTTAAAAAGCCCTGTGGGATCCCAGCAGGCAGCTCCTTTGTCAGAGGATGTTTTTGACCCAAAAGACTCTCACTACCATGGAATGCAGACAGCAACTCCTGCTTTGTACAGCGGGGCCAAGATGACAATATTTCTGCATCCATTAAACCAGTGAGACTTTCCTCCCACAGCAGCCGTTGAGGAGCAGAAGAAAAGATTTTTAACATGATTAAAGTGGAAAATACAGCAGTGGATCTCAGAGAAGCTCCAGACAAAGACGCAACTTGAGATTCTTAAACTATCACTTTTAGCTTTAGCTATGGAAAACAAACAAGACAAACTTTCATTCTTGCATGTTGTCTCAACTCATTTTAAGAACTTTGCCCGTATGAAACTGCACAATCAAACATTTTTCAATAAACTTGAGTTCTAACCAGACAAAGTATTCAACAACAAACTTCTGTACCTAAAAGGTCTTTGATGGAGTTCTACCATCACTTATCTCAGGGCGTTTTCTCATTATGCACAATTGGTTCGTACCATACCCAAGCATTGCTCCCCCCCCGGCCCTCTCCCCCGCTGGTCTGCATTGACATTATAACATTGTTCCGTGCTCGAGTACCCTTGCGTATTATGTCTACAGTCTGATACAGTAGGTGGCGGTACACACAAGGTTGCAGGAAGAAGGAGCAACCGTGGCAACCACTAGCTGGCTATCTCCATGCCGCTAACTGTTGAGGCTTTTTGTTATTTCTGAGTTGTTTGAGCACGGTTGCATTCATATCTCCGTACTCGAGTACACATAAATCATGCCCAAGACGACCTCTATACAAGCAGACTCGGGCCTTGTACCCAAGTACGGTATGTTTGTGTTCACACTGATCGAATTACCCAGACTTTAGGGTCAAGTTAACTAGGATCCGCACCCGGATCCCTAGTTTGAAACCACCCTCAGAGTTCAGACAGAGCTACACATTTGCACTGCATTGTAAAGTTTGTGATGAGCTCGTTTCAGAGAATGTACTGAGTTTACTTTGAGACACTCGGCATGAAATAAAACCTCAAAAAGTAAGTGAAGGGGTTTAAAGCAGTCCAAACGAAGTGCTCCTGGCTGGTGGAGGTTTCAATATTTATCTCGAGCACAGTGAGGGCGACATTTCTGGCAGAGGTCACTGGAGTGTGTGTCAGTTTGAACCCTGTTTTACAGACTCGTTGGAAGTTAATGTTGATCGGTGACGTTCTGTTATGACTACACAAACTAGGCTAATAAATTCTGGTGACAAACTCTGCAGAGAGGTCATTCAGACACAAAGAAAGAAGACCCAGTACAGGCCTCTGAGTCATCTTCATGAGTCATCTTGTTGCAGCAGTTAGTGGCAGCTGTAATGACAGGAGTCACTGGCTATGGAGCCTTTTCAATGTCAGCAGACCACCTGCTTCTTAGACCACAGCATGTTGTTACATCAAAATAAATGCTGTAAAGCTTCAAATAAAAGATTTCCCCAATTGAAGACCCAGATCCTTTAACTAGCCTGGTGTTGCTGCATGTTTTGATAAATTAAAGTAGGCCTTCATAAGAGGCCCTGACGCCTAGTTTGTGGATCAAACGTAAAAAGAAAAAGCAGCACGGCAAGAAAATTAAACATAAACTACAACATCTGTTCAAGAACGACAGAATAATGCTCGTTATGTGTAAAGACCGTGAAGCAGGTCTGCATGCAGTTTTTTTTTTTTCTTTTTAAATGAACGATATATTTAATTTGTTTATTGATATCCTAATTTTGCACACAGATACATTGTATTTCTGGTGTTTATTCACAATTTTATCGTCTTTCCCATCAATGGCTTGCACAAGTTTTGTTTGAAAATAATTAAAAGGCCCATCTTATGTTCAAGCCTGTCCAACATAAAGGCAACGTCGTTTTATAGTAGGTTTAGTACAGGTAGATATCGATATATCGGGAAGAGAAAAAACCCACTACCGTTAACCTGCTGATATCTTTATCTGATGGATGTTCAATCTGTAGAGATAGACAGATATAAACATTTTTTGCATTAATCCCTCAAATGCAGTTATCGAACACTTGTGAAAAAGATTTATAATGAAAACAAGATGGTCACTAAACTGGAAAGTAACTGCACATGTACGTGCGCCACTGCTTGACACTCTGGAGAGTGATAATGCTTGTTGTAATCCATAAAGCGCCCTCTGCTGGTGACAGCCAGAAAGAGTAATAATTCAACAATAATCAAAATGAAATGCTATTTGACTGGTGAATAAATATTGTAATATCTGCGATATAATTAGCCCATACTGATAGTCTCAGAGTATGCTAATATCGGCTGGTCAACTAATCGGTCGGGCTCTATTTTATCGACTGGCTATCAGTAGAAGTTTTAACGGTATTCGAAAAGTTGAAAACAAACTGAATGATTATTTTAGTTGTTTTGAATATAATCTTCAATGTTTTAGTTCTAATGCAGAGCAGCAACATGCCTGAATAACAGAGGCAAGTAAAAGGTCAACAGTTTAGCTTCATAGCACTTCCCTACATGACACTGTAGCAGCGGTTTCACAACACTGTTGATCAATACAACTAAAATACACTCTGCTGTGCAACGATTCCTTCTTTTAAGAATGTAGAGGGTTGAAGATGATGAATGTATTCAGCCATTTAATATGTTGAACTAGTTTCAGCTTCCACCCACCCATCTGTCTGAAGTTCATATCTATCATCGCTTTCAAATGAAGGACTAAGTAACTGCAGCCATGATGAAAGTAGCTCAAAGATGTAATCACCCTCAAACTAAACAATGGTATAAGTGAGTCTACATTCAACAGAAAGAGACTTCTCTCGGATTACGTTCATCCTCTAATTGTTTGTGGTGCGACCTCCCTTCGTGTTTCTCTGCAGACCTTGAGATTATCTCTAGTCCCTTTATGAAAAGGAAGGGTTTGGATGTGTTTGCTGAATTTGAAAACATTCTCTTACAATTCTTCAAGCAGGCAATTAGCCATTTAGTGCAGTATTTTGTTGTTATCTGGAGACAGTTTTCTGTCTTGTTTTTTTCGCTCCATTTGACACTTTCGACAGCTCAATGATTTATCACTTAGAAATCTCAAATGTATTTCAGCAAGAGGAGGATTACGCCACTCTGCTCTGTTGAAAACTCTTCCTCAGATATAATGCTTGTGGCAATTTCAGCAACCAGTGAGGTGTTTAGACAAGAGCATGACTCAGTCAAGAGTCTCAGAGTTGGATCACCAACAGAAACTGAATTACGGTGATTACAGACGATTTGCCCGTACACAGTGTGCTCATAGTCACAATTTATTACTTCAACTGGTTCTTTTATTTCGGGAGATGGCATGAGCGTAATTGAGGATAATATGACCTTAACACACAGGTTGGTGTTCCTTGAAAAGGGCAGTAATTACAGAAACCCTTTCGCTGATCAAGGCGACCTGCAGCCACCGCAGCCAGAGACCCTGCAGAGGCTGATGACTTATCTCCTCCAGGGATTAAAAACAGATGTCAGACCGGATCTGTCTGGGTCACCCAGCTGCTCAGACCCACTTTAAGGCAGGAGTACTGACTGTAAATACTATATGAAATAAGTTTCCTTTCAAGATGAATTAATGTCAGAAAAATGTTGGCTGATAAAGTCCATCACTCTGGCAATCTGAGCAATCTGAAGATGCTCCATGATCCGTCATCCATGACAACTGACCTATTTATCCTCATAGAAGTCTACTTGAAACATTTGTAGTCTTTTTTACCTTCTTAGAGAGCAGGTAAAAGATTTTTTTGCATGTTTCACATACAGGGAATAAATGTGCAACCTCGCTAACTTCTGGCATGCAAATGTTTTCATAGCCTACAATAACTGTGTGAAAGCAAATAGTCCACGGGTTATGAGTGGAACAAAGCAGAGCAGAAGGAATGCAATGAATGTAAAACTTCCATTAAACACAGCGTGTGCCCTGCAATGATGCTCTTCTGTAATTCACCCTCAGATCTCAACTTCATAAAGATCCATACAAATGTTCAAGTCCGCTCTAAATTGAAATCCACGTCCGGTGTTACGGTTTAAAGAGGGACCACTTTCATCCCAACCAATAATCGACTTCGTTTAGAAGTTTTACTGAAGATATACCAGATGAGTAGTAGTAGTACGCAGTAAAACCTAAAACCAATTTAACCATTTCCTGTGAGTGTCAATGACCCTCCCTCCCTGTCCGAACATATCAACGAACCATTTAAAAGTTTGAATGCTGAACTCTACACAGGAATAGCAGCACTAGTCTAGGCTACAATTAGGTCAGCTCTACAATTAGGCTATATGCCACTTTCACTTTACTTTATTTTCGTATCAAGAATTTAAAAACAACAGTAGAGTAATAGGTCTGTCAATAGTAGGCTACTTGAACTTGTGTCGCCACCTGCCCCCGTGTTCAACACACCTTTTCAGGGCGTTCCCCGGTCAGTCTGAGACAGGGGGGAACACCAGGAGGGAAATCTTACCTTCTTTACTTCCTTCTCTATCTCCATGTTTGAGTCTGTGTGTGTGTGTGTGTGTGGGGTTTTCTCTCGGTTCAGAAGAGGTGAACAAAAGAACTGCAGCTGTAAAATCCGTCAAATCCAGGAACAGACAAAAAAACGAGTAAGACAACATAAAACCGCAACCCGGTTCACTCCTCCGTCCACTTTTCGTTCACTCCTCGTCGGAGGTCCTGCTCCGCACCGTGACAAGGTCAACAGACTGAAGTAAAGGATTTCCGGTGGGAGCTTTCAAAATAAAAGCTCTTACGTGGAAGAGCTGTCCAGACGAAGTAGGCTAACTTCTTAATTAACGAGTCAATGCAAACAAATTTAGAACAACATGTAATTAAAGAAAACAAACAAAAAAACAATATGTTTAGCATCAGACAAAAACAAAATATGAAAGATTAAAAAAAGAAAAGAAAAAAAAGTGCATTAAATAGCCTACGCCAAATATCAATATTTGAAAGGCATTTTAATAAATAGGTCTACATCCCAATTCAAATGAAATGTACACAAATTAAGTATGGTGTAAATGTTAATTAAAAGCCAATTTTCCAATTAGATGAAGGCATTAATGGTAAACCTTTCAAAAAGGATATTTTTTGCTGAAATAATGTATCATGTAGCCTAGATGGATGTTAACACTTTCTTACAGTGTGCAGATTTGAATATATGCTACATACAAGTATTTTACAAGTTCACTCATACCCATAGTCTTCTAATTGATGCAAAAATCTTCAAGTCTTTGCAGTATCCCACACTCTTCAATGGGTTGTGATAAACTCACCAAAAAACGAAACAAAAAACAAAAAACAAAAAGTAAATTAGTTTGAAGAAAACATTATATCTACCATAACATAATTTGGTGTCATGAAACAGTTGCGCTTTATTTATACACTTTATTGTGAAGATAACTTTTCCTTAATTCCGTATACCTGTTTGTGTTTTCTGTCTAGCTTGACGTTGCTTTCACTCTCGCTCACTTTTCATTGATTTACGAGGCGGCATTTCCGCTTTGATAGAGTTTCCTGTCGACCAATAGAAATAGAGAATGTGGGCACTAGAGCGTAGGACGACCAATCAGAGAGCAACATGGGCGTGTTCTTGTCATAACAAAGGACGTTACAGTATTTTGACATATTCAACCTGCTGTAAGTCTAATTCTGAATGTGCTGCCTCGTTTTTAAAGAGTTTACTTATTATATATATATATATATATATATATATATACTTATATTTTTGAATTAAAAAACTATCAAAAGGCGCAATGGGCTACACAATGTATGAGTCTTAAACTAACAAGAGACACAAACTCCTACACCACAGCTGTTTCCAGGCTCGTCTCAACCGTGGCCCACTGTGATTTTATAAGGACACCTCACAATAGGGGGGAAACAAATCTGTCCTTCAGAATAAGTGACTGGAAAGGGAAAATTGAAAGAAAGAAAAAAGGAGAACTCTTTTTTTCTCCGACCAATTGGAGATGGAGCTGTCTGATAAAAGGATGCAAGTGATTGGCTTCAGAAGGCGAACTAATAAAGTCACACAGTTGGTCTTTGTGTTACGAGCAAGAATGAATTGATGAATGTCTACAAATAGCCTAAGTCAAACTTGATTGGCTGACAAGAAGAACAAAACAACAAACTATTGCTACTTCAGTTTGTAAAAATATTAAATTACATCCAATTGAACCTGCAGGGATACATTTACTTAAGTTCAGATGAATTCATCTGCTTAACCACAAAGCTTAATCAAGATTTTTCAAAGTGAATATTCATACATGAACATATAAACAGCAGCCCATTAGGTGCCCACAGGTGAAAAAAGGGAGAAGGTTCCTTCAAACTATGCCACCCCAGCATGACCACTGTACACAGACGTACAGATTAAGGTTTAACTTAAAGGTGTTCTTTTTCGGTTCTGTTGATTGTAAAATGGAAAAGAAAATATCCCCTTTCCATGAAACATTTTGATGGTGTGTGAGTCAGTGTGATATTTTATTTTATTTTACAAGACTGTATTGTTAACAATAGTTTGTTTTTACAATCCTCTTATGAAACCTACAGAGAAATCACATGATAAATCACTTTTAACAGATGATTTTAACTTATGCTTGGCTTCTGTGGAGGATGTCAGACCAGCTGAAGTATTCTGTGCTTAAATGAAGATACATTTAATGGTTTATTTAGATTTCTTTGCTTTAAGAGAAAAGTGTAAACCCACTATTTGAGTTGTGCTGCACCCAGCAGTAGCCATTTTGTTAATTGAGCCGTCTATAAAGCCAGGAGGCATTTGTTCTAGGAGAGGTGAGGACATGTTGCCTTAAACTTGTTTGTTAGTCTGATTTAATTATGAATTAAGTTGCCTTATTTACAATGAACTTTTGTTGTTTTGTTGAGTTAACACGTGTTGGTTTAATCACTGTAAATAAATAGTCATCTCATGGAAAATCGTCATCTGCTGAGTTGACTTCCTACCACCTTCCTAGACACTTGTCAATCTCACTTACAAACACTGAGATTGACATTTCTTTTCATGTATCTAGCTCCGTGAAATGGCGATGTGGAGCGACATCGAGCTTCTCATGAACAAGGATACCAACACTGTCTGTCTCTGCGGTGTGTCAAGGGAGGAGAATGTGAGCGGCTTGTACCAGGTGGACACACTGGTACAAGCTTAATGTTATAGCTGACTGTATTAAGAACACTGACTGTATTCACAGCACTTGGCTGAGGCTGAATGACACATATGGTTTATGATCCTAACGATTTTCAGTAATCAATAAAAAGCTCATTGAAAAAAAAACTTTTCTTTTTCTGACACTGGTTTTGAGTTGACTGTTTTAAAATAGATTTGAGACATATAATGTGAAAGCTGCTGTATTGAAAAATATCACCCATTGATACTGGGTATGAGTCATGGACATGGTTTAGATGGACATTGTGCTAAATTATTAAAAAGTTTTAAATCATTGCAGAATTCAACAACTATGGTACGTGAAAAGTGTTGAAAAGGATGTTGGAGTGAAGTGTGCTGTGCTGCAATGTACATTTTGAAACTTGATGTTAATGCATTTGCATAAAATACATTCATTTTTATTTCTGAATATTGTAAAGTTTAAATTGGGGGTCGAAGGTCAAACTTAATAGATATTTTGTATTTTCCAATAAATGTAAAAACCAAGAGAGTCCAACCGACATTTAAGAAAAAAATCCAGTACCATGACAGCTGGACCTGTTTGAAGTCTGTGTATAGATTCAAAAATTATTTATTTCTTAACATATAATAATAATTAGGGGGGCGAAGGTTGCCCTACCCTTAAAACCCCCTCACTTTTAAAATCGCTGCTCCACTTCTGGCTTTTCTGTTCTCTCCCCCTCTCTCTCTTTTCTTTTTTTACTAAGCTGATGCTCCTCTGCGCTGAACCGCCTGTCAAACAGCTGCAGCGTTGCCTCAGCCACAGGAAACAATGTGGTTTGCAACTTCCCCTGTGAACTGCTGCTGGCCTTTTCACAGGAAACACTATGTGTTACACCCTGACTGGTCGGACGGTGTCATCTGTCAGGGCACCGGGGCTGATGACTGTGATGTGGGTGTTATTTGTCAGCCACACTCACTGTGACGTCTGATGTATACATGCCTGGATGAACATCTGTAACATAGAGTCCTTAACTGCATAGCTTTTTCTCCCCCTTTTCCGGAGATGTCGTTTCCCATGTGTTGTGCAGCAGTATGATGTCATGATACAAAGTTTGTGTCACTCGTGAAGTATCTGCTTTAGAAAGAAACGCACTCATGTCACCTCATCTGAACTTGATCTACAACGTGTTTCTTTATTAAAAAGAATGGATGAATGAATGAAACCTTTATTGTCCTGTGAGGAATTGTAATAAAAACATGAAGAACAAAGACATCAACAAAAAAAAACACAAAATATACATGAAACTAAAATAATTTTATCATTAAAGCCTCACGTGCTACCGTGTGCTATGTAAGCATGTAAGTGATTTCAAGTGGTATGTTTAGAGCAGCTTAAACAACAATGATATGACAGATGAAAATAAACCCATCTTATCAGTTGATCTGAAGGAAGGTATGTGAATGCAGACGGTGCTTCACGGTGGAGGCTGCAACTTTCTGGAAAGGGTAATGAAGTTGTTTTCCTCTTACACTTGTCCCGTTTGCTCTTGACTGTAGGTGGCGCCAAAAACCAGATCTCTAAAGTTCACCTGCATGTAGTATACACAGCCTCACACCTGATGTCTGAGTTTATCACAATGGTAAATGGTAAATGGACATGAGCTTGTACAGTGCTTTTCTAATCTTAGACTACTCAAAGCAATTTTACACCGCAGGTCACACCTACACATTCACACACTGGTGGCAGAGGTTGCTAAGTAAAGTGTTCATCAGAAATAACTAATCCCATTCATACATATTCATACCTGGCCAACGAAACAGCGGGAGCAATTTGGGGTTAAGTGTCTTTTCCAAGGACACTTTGTATACATGGCTGCAGGACCTGGGGATCACACCCCCGACCTTCCGGTTGAGAGACGACAGACTCTACCATTGAACCACAGCTGCCCCAATGACCATCTTTTTTTATAAAATTGTCCAAAACTAAAAATTATTCTTATGTTGTGAGGACTTTTTCATTCCGTTGCATAGCGACCATGTCAATGGCATTATGATGACAATAAAGACAAGCTGACAGTGAAGTATTTGTAGCATTGCTCTTTATCTTTTTATGCTAAGTACACTTTTATATTGATGTTTGAAGACATGGATATTAAGAGTTTTTGGGCCTGATTTCTTCTGTTACTTCTTGCCTTATCGGCCCTTTGATCCCAAGAACGCAATCAAAGACTTTCCTACATGGTCATTACATGTTACTACATATTTCCACATTGTTTGAATAAGTGTAAGTTGTGGTTTGCAGCTTTAAAGCATATCTGTGGTCACTTAATATCTAGGCCATACTTCCCATCAATGGTCATCCAACACAATAGCATTTCATCAACATCAACAAAGATATAATTCAGCAGAAGTCAAGTAGGAAGCCTTCATAGAATTGTTTGATGCATTATAAGATGTGTATTTCTTTGTGTTTCTTAAAGTGTTGTATTTTAATTTTGGGCAAAATCCTGCCAAACCACCGTTTGAAACAAATAATTCTTGCTTACATCTTTCTGCATCAAAAGCACA